GAGCAATAAAGGAACGAAAATCCACGCTTGTATGTTCGCTGCATGCTTCGGCGACATAGCCTATACGTGGAACGCCTTTCAAACGCTCGCGGACATCATATGCATAAGTGCAGGAACCAACGACTTAACCATTACCAGCAAGAGGATGTACGGGGAAATATTCCTTGCGACGCCAGAAAACAATCTTTGAATCAGCCAAGTAACATTGTGGCTACACATACTTTTGCAACTGACTCCAGAAGCCTTATTGGAATACAAGCACAGTTGGCAAGCACAATTTACAATGAACTGTACAGTCACGGTCATCTAGTTTATTTTTTCAATTTTCAATTTGTGTTGCCTTCAACCCTCTTTGCTTTTTCTCTCTGCGCTGCTAGCCATGCACGGTTTGCGACCCGTCGCTCCGTTGTTATTTGGATTTAATTGAATTTGTTCTGCAGCGTGATGACTGCGTTTGCAGCGACCCTTTACTATCGTTTTTACTGACGGATTTTGAGGCCCTTGGTAAAAGGTCTCATAGATGCTTGATAATTTTTCAAGAAGGTCCAGTTTGATAAAAAACTTGACTAAAAATTCCGGTTATAACTTTTTTGAAGGAAATTTATAATAAAAAATCTTATGAACGTTTAACTCTAAAATTTCACCCATGTTCCACTGTAAAGTTTCAAAAGAGCATTGTTAAAATTTCAACTTTGTCTCAAAAAAGATTCCAGGCACAAAAATGAAAAATTTACTTGAATAATTTACTCGAACTGTTGTTGAACGCTTCATTCAAAAAATCTGGTGTAAAATTCCAAGAACACTTCATTACGAGTCCAATAAAATTTCGGTCACTTAAACTGCTATTGCATTGTAAACTTGTGAGCGCTTATCCCGTTGCCAACCTAAATTAAAAATAATATACGTTTAAAAATTACTTTTTAAAGACAACACTTCCAAAGAATCCAGTATCTCCAATCTTACAGATGTACAATGAATTTCTCCCTTAATTTTCGAAAATTCAAAAAATTTATTTTTCAATTTTTTTAATATTGAAAAAAAAAAATTTTAAATCATTTATTTTGACATTTGATTCATGCATTGTCTTCAACTTTAAACAAGTGTGCAAAATTTCAAATCGATAGGATAAGTAGAAGTGTATTAAATTTCGATTACAAGATTTGTAGCAGACAGACAGACAGACAGACAAACAAACAAACAAGAAGTGAAGTTAAAGAGAAGTGTTGTAAAAATTATATACCAACAATTTTTGGGTCTCTCTACCAGTTTTTAAATTAGGACGCGTAAGCCAAGATACATACGTAACCGTGATTTCAGTAAACGTAATGACTGTATGCTCCGTAATGCGTCAATATAAGTCAGATGAATCAAGAAGAACTCAGTGATACTACGGGCACAAGCATCACGACCAAGTTGCAATCCCCTCCGTAAATGCTGCTGTCACACCCAACCCTTAAGTCTGACGTTGGCGACGAGTTTTGAGGCGTTAGAGGCTTCCGTGACTCGGCTGGCGTGTGACTTGATTGTCCGCCGCGATAATTTCCAGCCGCGATAATTTCTTTGTTTTTACCACGTTTTTCTTAGCTCGCTTTCGTGTCCCTCTGTCTGTCTGTGATGATCAAATCTTGCAATCGATATTTCACCAACTTTCCCACCAGCTAGCGCTCTGAAACTTTTAGGGAAGCTCAGCTCCCGATAACAATACAATAATCAATAATTTGTTGCACGTTTCCAGGCGTATAAACTCTAAAGGAACTCACAAGCAGGGGTTTGGGAACCTTAATGCACGTCATCCTCGAGAGGATATTCGTGTTTAGACTGCGTGTATCGATGATACGCTTCCTATCATCGATACGTACGTCAAGTCAAGTAAATTGGCTCGCAACAACGTTTTTCATGTCTAGCACAGTGACAATCTACTTTAGTCATTTTCACATTTCTTTTAATCTTCTATTACAGTGAACATTTTATATAGATATCTTGGTCAGTATAACTTTCGAAAATGGTGAAGGAAACGGCCGCTCAAAAGAAGCGACGGCTAGAGAAGGCAAGACAGAAGTACCAGGAGAAGCGCTCGCAGGAAACGGAACAATGTAAGACAGAACGACTTACTAAGCGCCGAAAAATGCTTGAATCTGAGGCAGAAAGCCAGCGTGCAGAGCACTTGGCCAAACATAAAGAGCATATGGCTGCTGCTCGTGCGCTTGAGACGGAAGAAGAGAGGGCTTCTCGCCAGGCGCGTGATAGAGAGCGACACGCTGCTGTTCGTGCGGTTGAGCCAGAAGAAGCGAGGGCTTCTGGCCAGGCGCGTTATAGAGAGCAACACGCTGCTGTTCGTGCGGTTGAGCCAGAAGAAGCGAGGGCTTCTGGCCAGGCGCGTGATAGAGAGCGACACGCTGCTGTTCG